ATGGAGACAGCACAGCACAGGTAATGTTCATTAACATTGTCGGCACTTGTGCACGTTCTCCACGTACACCTGGCTGTTCCTCTCTTTGCACCCCTCCCTCGTAATAAATAGAGGCCTGTGGAAGCCAATGATACACAGAGCATAGAATGTATACACGATTAACAATATGATGATAGTGAATAAAGGGTAGCAGAGGACAACGGGGATACAAATGGAAGCCAGTAGAGGCCAGTAGTGTTTGCCAGTAATGTTTACACAAGCGGCTAGGGTTGATGGATGAGCTCATCGTATGCTGTGGGGATAAAGTAGCCTGCATGATCTCTATTAATCAGTGGTCGGTATCGTTTGATGTTAATTCCTTCAGCTATCTTACGTTTGGTAAAGTCTGATTGGTTTGTAACGAGGATGGTGAAGTCAGTCATGTTGATTTGGTGATTGGGATGAGTTGCTATGTGGTCTGACATGGCTGATTGCATTTACATTAATACCAATACTGTTCCGAACGTCATGAAATCAGCTTTTACAATACGAATGGGTCATGTATGGTAAACACAGTTAACTGACATGTTTCCCATTCACTGTTTATGTAGGTGCACACTATCCTCAAAGTGTGTGTACGTACAAAAACCCATTTGAATGATGTTTTTTTGGGTATTAAGTTTCTATGTGACTTTCCCCTCCTTTACTTCACCGTGGATGCTGCATGCAAACGGATTAGTATTGTCAATATAATGCAGTTGTAGTACCGAACCATTGAAATAAATGCTGGGTTTGTTTGTCAATATGATTATAACCCGTTCATCTATGACCGAGACTTTAGGTGAGATATAGGATAAATCTAAAAACAAGTCATGCATGTTTTCAAAGGTATCAAAACTTGTGCCATCAATGAACAGCATTTTAAATTTTTTCAGAGACCCGTGAAGATCTGTCTCGTCCCAGGCCGCCGTCTTATACGTGTAGCTGGAATATTGCTGAGTGCGGTGTTAAACAAGAAACGAACAAACCATCTGTTCACATTCTATCAGTATGATATTATGAATTCTATGATCATTTGGACACACCAGAGGCATCTTTGTTCATAGTCACTCAGATGCGTTTTTGTTTCATGTCCCGCGTGACAAATACAAATTTGGCCATATTTCAAACTTTGGTCACATAAGCCTCAGATGATACGTTTATTTCCTAACATGGTTAAATGTAAGAAATGCTGTTCCTTCGTGTTGTGTGACTGGGTTACAAATCAATTGTCTTGTCTTTACAGAAGTTGAGAAGTAAATCTGTTTCCCCAATAGTGAGGTGGCTGATGTTCACCTTTGACACACGGGCTTTAGGACCTAAAAGCAAAGCCTCTGTCTTGTCCTCATTTAGTTTAAGCATATTGTCATTCATTCATGACTTTACTTAAGAGCAGCAGTCCTCAAGATTGGTCAATGGTGATGTGCCACTGGCTGGGAGAAAGCTGTCAACAATCTGGGTGTCGTCAGCATATAGATGATGCAGTACCTGGTGGTTGCTGATAACCTGCTCTAGCTGCCTGGTATACAGGGTGAAAAGTAACGATCCCAGCACAGAACCCTGCGGTACTCCGTAGTCAACTGTGACAGTGGAGGAATGAGACGTCTTGATGACTTCTGACTGTTTTCTGTCAGTCACATAGGGCCGAAACCAAGACAAAACGGTCTCTCCAATTTCACACTCATCTGATAGCCGCTGTAGCAGTTTCTGGGGATCAAGCAGCGAGTATCAAACGCTGTTGTTGCTCTGTTTATGATGTCAGTGATTGTTTTGTCAAAACTCACTCAATTAAATTTACGGCACGGGAACACAGCATAGCACAGAACAGCAGATTAAAGAATTAACGACACCAAATAAGCACTAAATAACAGCTTTCCAATGATAGTCGCTAATAGTCTGATGGCAGTTCCTTCACATGCACGCATGCGCACACGCACAAAAAAACAAAAACAACAACAACACACACACACACACACACACATTTTACTCAGTCTGGGTATAACCTACAACGAACAACCCACATACACTGCGTAAAATATACAACAATGAATGTCTTCATACCCAAAGTGATGCGAACTTCAACCAAAACGTTTCGAGGCTACCTGTAACATCGGGTCCTCTGGATGCTAATGTATGTCCTCTGTGATCATTACATACCAAATTGTTTCAATGTTTGTTTGTTGTCTTATTGTTGTATATCATTAAAACGGCACCAACTTTGAGCAATATATCTCTAGCCGAGCGTATATTCGGTGTGATCATACTGACAGACAGATAAGTTCGTAAAATCTCTAGTTATGCGTACATTATTAAATATGATAAACAAGCCAGTTTCAAACAAATCAATCACATTATATTCCAGATGAATGTCAAGGACATTGTTCACAAATGCCGATATATATCATACAAAGTAAAAACTAAAGGTTTCATAATGTTGTCGATAAAAAACCCAAACATGTATTTTTTATAAATATATTTTATTCATGAAACATAAACATAACATGAATATGGATTGGCACAAGAAGCCAAACATGTATAAATCCGATTGAGAGTAAACAGTAAGTGCTGATTATCTACATGACCTAAATACGTGACCTATCCCAGCTGTGACCCGAGGTCTTGCCTTGGACGTACATAGATCCAAACTTCACTGATTGTTTATGATACCCGTATCACATAGCTCACCACTTATCTCCCTCATGTACAAACAGAACGACTTGTGTACAGACTGAACCAGCTAGAGCTAGATGCTGGACATACTATGTCAACATGACAGTAGTACAGTGGACTCCCTCTAAACCGACACCCCTCTAATCCAACATTCCCTGTAAACCGACATATTTATTTGGTCCCGAATGTGTCCCTATATAATATCATTATTAGAAACTCCCTTTAATGCGACATCCCTCTATTCCGAATTCCGGCACTCAAATCCGGTCAAAAAACTCAATGTTTTAGTGACAATTGACTCTCTCTGAACCGACATTTAACCTTACAAAAGATTGCATCAGCCAACTCATGGTGTATGTTTAGCAATCAACACGCTTGAGCGAGAGGTGGCCTTCCAAGGCGTAATAGGATTATCTGTTAATTACTTGTTCAATGAATTCATAGATTGTGAAATCACCGGTCAAGTGCTTGTTCTGATCCGTTGACATTGACATAGAGATCATCTTAATTTAGCATGAGCATTGTCTCACACTCTAAACCGACAGTTTTCACCGGTCCCGAACGATGCCGGTTTAGAGGGAATCCACTGTACTATCTAGTGCTCTCAGTCAGCTAATGATCTGTATAAACTGTGATACAAAACAAGCTGTTTCACTGCCCTTGTAGACAGGCTTTAAATATTATTCAAATTGTTTTCATCGCTATATGGCTGCAATCTTGCCGATGCGAGGTTAAAGTTTAACTCACTTACTCTTTTAACTGAAATTATTCAAACATTAACATGACCTACTTGTATTGCTTTGTATTGCATTAATCCGTTGCTTTCCACGATTCACCAAACGTGTTCCATGTTTATTTTATGTATTTCATCCACTGCTAATCTCACCTGGATAGATGTAGCAAGGGGCGATTCACGTATGTTTTTTTACTAATATACTCATGCCAATAATGGTTGTCAAACCCACCCCACCCCACCCCCACCCCCAGCCTATTAATAAAATTGAACGGGGTAACAACCATTATTGGCATGAGTATATGTGGTGAAGGCCACAATACATTTTTGGTGTCTTAATACTTGGGTTGTTTTGTTGATATCCAAACGCCATAACACGGTACCGGTCGTTGTGGGGTTATACAAGCTGATTCATTTACGACAATTACTCAGTCCTGCCCCACAACGAAGCACATGTGACACATGTGGTCTCACCACAAGTGAGTTTGTTCAAAATTGCCTCTGTTCCCCCAGCAGAAAATGGGTACCCGGTGAAATAAGTGGTGAGACTATTAACCTTCTAGCGCCAAACAGGCAGCTTGGGTTATCCGGAGTAATACTGATCAGATTGTGCGCTTTGAGCAGCATATCTAGGCTGGAAAAGGCGCGTCATAAATATTCTCATTATCATATACGCCACGTACGGTAGAGTAATACAATATCCACAGTATCGCCGTACGTATGTAATGTATACAAAGCCGTGTCACTAATTATCTCTCGTACCCATTCAGCTTAGCACCACGAAACAGGCGGATGGTGGTCACACTGGACTTGACCTTGACGCCGTCACATCTGTTACAGCCAGTATCATCTTTACCATAAGTATTGAACCATGTTCTTTAAGACAGTTTGTTGTTGGTTTGAGTATGATCAATACTAAAAGACGTGTGAGCAGTTGAGCAGTTTTTAAACTCGACATGAAACGATATGATTGAATGTCATTTTTAATTCGCCCGTATGTTGTTGTCTTGTGAAAACTGAACCACATAAAGCAGGTATTGTACGATTCGAATTCGGCATCAATCTGAATGTTACTATATATATATATACATGTTATACAAAAATGTAAACTCTTCACAAGTTCAATAACGTGTCATATGAAATCTCACAATTACAGTCAATGTAAGTATAAGTATTGAACCATGTTCTTTAAGTCATTTTGTTCTTGGTTTGTGTATGATCAATACAAAACGACATATGAGCGGTGCTTAAACTCGACATGAAACGATATGATTAAATGTCATTTTTAACTCGCTCGTATGTTGTTGTCTTGTGAAAACTGCACCACATACAGCGGGCACTGTAGACTTTAAATTCGGCATCAATCTGTATTTGTATATTACTATATTAATATACATGTCATACAAAAATTTAACACGAGTTCAATAATATACCACATGATATCTCACAATTACAGTGGACGAAATTGATTTTCTTTGAGAAATGTTGTCGACACTCATGAATGCCAGTACACTGTTGACAGATGGCAGTGGTTATGTCCCACGCTGCTATCACGTGATGCTGTCTACGACAACATGTATATGATTGCGAAGTGGGTCACTATACGCCTCTGAACTGACCCAGGGAAAATCCTCGGGACCTCCGTGTCCATGAAGTGATTTAAACAAGCCCATGCTGAGTCATGCTAGCTTGTATAATGTTATCTTTACATTCATCAATATATAAGCAGAATACTCCTACGAAATATTTATTCCCAAGGAACGGTCTAGTCGGAACAAGGCTTAGGATTGGAGCAAGACTTTGACCACAATCAGGTAGGAATTGGCACAGCTGTGAATATCTGTAGTAACTTTATTCCACGTTGTAGCCAGTTTTGGAAAAGTCTATCGCAATAACTTACGTGAAATTTTGAAACTTGAATATCTAGCTCATCTGAATGTGTTAATCCTATTTTAACAAAACACATAATGTTGACAAAGGGAGATGATGGTTTTGTGAATTTGAAGTTTCAAATCACATAAACGACCTCTGAAACATTTCTAAATATTTTCCCCAAAACTGTTGCCTTACATAATATTTTTAGGAAGATATTTTGAAATACTGGTGTGCACAATTGTAGGTTAAGACGTTGTGGTTCCTGATGTAGTAAAAGCATGTACCACAATATATCCTTGGCAGAAAACGACTGGGACCGTTATTCCCATTATTTTATGTGTTAAGCTCCGATTCTGTTGCAGAACAATGAATGTTTTAACGTCAAAACAATGCTCAATCGTTTCCTTATCTACTTTATAGAAGGAAAGCTATAATTGTGCCTCGCACAGTATATGTTTGTCTCGTTTTCAATTTATCTCATATAATCGAGTAAAGAATATCGATCTCAGAATAATATTTGAATATATATACATGTACATAGACAGGGTTTGCTAACACTATGTATCGTTTACTAGCGATGATATATAAGAAACCATACTTTGATCTTATATTTCGTAATAGGAAAATACTCTCTTGAATTTGTTTTGCACGTAAAAGTTATATGCATGTAAAAGAACTTGGCATGTGATCGTGTTACAGCCCATTATCAGAAATACCGTACAAATGGATGACAAAGGACCTAATGATTCGGAAAATAGTGCCATGAGTAGGAGGTCGAAAACCTTTTCAAGATAATTAATACCTTTTATTTTTTGAAAGAAGAACTGGTTTTAAGGTTCATGATATGTGACTTTCCAACGAATGCTTGCATTTTATATTAATTGTTATTGGTTACCACACTTCAGATAAACAAGAACATGTCCAGCAACGGGAAATACAAAATCATCATCCTCCATGACAACAAAGAATGGTTCTCCTTCCTGAAGGAAGAATTCAAAGAATATGACGTCACAATGGAACAGTGGATCTCTGACGAAATAGACTTTGAAGTGACATCTGAGCCACCCAAAAATGCTGTCTTTTACAACCGCTGCAGCCCATCCTCTTACATCAGGGGACATCGCCTCTCTCTGGATCAAGCAAGAGTCATAATTCAATGGTTGAGAAATCACAACCGAATTGTTGTCAACGGCGAGATGGCCATTGACGTTGAGGACAGCAAAGCCTATCAATACGTCATGGCCAAAAAATGTGGACTTAACGTACCAAAGACAATTTTCACATCCAACCCAAATGCACAACTCATTGAAGAAAACTTTGGGAGAGACTCTGCATTTGTTATAAAACCAAACCGAGGTGGAAGAGGTCTCGACGTGAGAAAGTTCGACAACCTGGCTGATTTCGAACAAAACACGGAACCCCTCGCATCCACAACCGGTCTGTACGTCATCCAAGGTTTCATTCCGTTGACCAGCGGACTTTTCCGGGCGGAGTTTGTCGGCAAAAAGTATCTCTATACCAGCAAGGCTACGGCTTGTGATGGTTTCAACTCCAACTTTTGCCCGTGCGAGGTACCACGTGACAGGTTCAAAATTCTCCCCGATGTGGAGGACCCATTCATTGAGAACTGTACCAACTTCTTCAGATCGACAGCCCTTGATAACGGCGCGATTGAGTACATATATGACGCTAATGGCGTTCCATACGTCATCGACATCAACTGCAACACGGGTTACAACACTGAAGCGGAAGAAGAAGCTGGTTCCAGACGAGGCTACGTTGAAGTGGCCAAATACGTCTACAGCAAAGTGACCGAACTACGGAAATCTCACGCCGAAAAGAAAAACAGCATAACTCATGAGGATTAGAGGCATCATGCCATCAGACCGTGGTTCAGGGTTATAATATGATTGACTGATCTTCACTGCATTCAAATAAAATGTAAAATAAGAACTAGATTGCTTAATTATTTTTATATAATTATACACTTTTCGAAAGCCAAAATATCCAGCATGAATACTATACGTGGGTGTGAATGTGTGTATGGATGAGTGTGAATGATGTACATGTACTTATTTTAAAATCGTGTTCATGTAAACCTCTAGAATTAGCATCAACTACAAAAACATGTTAAAAATTAAAAATAATTTCGAAAGCCACTTATTGTGACAATATGTATACAGGTAATATAGAAGAATATTGAGGTGAGGTGAGGTGAAATTGGGTTTAACGTCGTGCTTGAGAATATTTCGCTCATAGATAGAATATTGATAAGCCAGGAGTACCAATATATGTAATATTCCAGATACAGATATATGTGATGATTATATGATACTACTGATGACATAGATGCTACCGTCATGCGTCGCCTATGAGTAAGCTTAGTTTCAATTATACACTCGAAGAGCCGTCGAACAGCGAAAGATCTTGTGCAGATAAAGTAGTTTTGACAAGAAGAAATATTTAAAGTCATATTTTATACATTTATGACTTATGCACCTGCGGAACTCACTTGGTTATATGTTGTAACGCCTGAGCCATCAATATTCTATCTATATTACCGCGACCTGTATATAATCTCATCTAGAACTGCCAAACTAGTGATTAATATTGTGAAAACCCTCCACACCTTTGTGGTGCAATGAAGCATTATTTACAGGCTGCAGGAGACGGGTTCGAACCCGGAATACCCACAGTGTGTAACGTCATATGAGCAGCATCCATGTATCTTTACTATAACGTTGCTAGAAGTATGAAGTATGAGGTGAACGTTCAGGTTCGATACTTGGACGTGCATGTTTTACTCATTCAAGCTTAAGCATACTGAGCCCCAGGCCTATATCGTCTCTCATAGTGGAGTGTTAGCTTCCCTTGAATGTGAACGGATCCGCTGCAGGTAGATTGGTCTGACCAACAATCTTGACTAGTCAGCACATTCTTCGTTCTCAAGAGTACATGCAAAGCGATAGGATGTACGAGCTGCTATAGCTGAAATGGTGTTCAGATCACACATAATATTACTCTCATCTGTTTATGAAGTAATGAGAACTGGTTACATATTCACTTTAATGCAATCATTACTTAAAATAGTGATGTGTAGCCCTCATTAAGTCATATGTTTAAGCTTAAATTTTATATTCTTATGTAACTACACATATCTACTTCCCCGATGGCGTCATACCAAAAGACGTTAAAATATGGTACTTGTTGGTCCCTGCCTGGCGCTCGGCATAAATGGGTACAACAAGGACTGGTCGGTTCGGAGTCAGTATAATGTGTCTGAGTGGGGTTTGACCCCAAATTATCCAAAATATAAAACTATAAAACCATAAAACTATAAAACTATAAAACAAGCTTCAGTTTGGGCTAGTACAATCAGCTGCACATACACATACACACGCATGCACGTCGTCATATGAGCAAAATATTCTCAAGCACGACGTTAAACCCAATGTCACCTCACCTCACACATATCTACAATTATGTGTATATTTTATTGGTGGTCAAATTGACCAACGCATTTTTGAATTGGCAATATAATCCACCAAAAATACAATGTACTTCTGAAATACAATGCGATCATAAAATCTATGTCAAGTAGAAGATATTCGATAAGCGGATTTGCTTACGAGTAATGCAAAGTGTAATCGCATCGCACCCAACGCTATAATCTAATACCCCAATGCAGGTGCCTTTTGTGGTGATCCATGAAGATCCGGGTTAGATTTATCTTCAGTAGCCCTTGCTTGTCGTAAGAGGCGTCTAGCGGGATCGGGTGGTCAGGCTCGCTGACTTGGTTGACACATGTCACTGTATCCAAATTGCGTAGATCGATGCTCATGCTGTTGATCAATGGATTGTCTGGTCCAGACTCGATTATTTACAGACCTCCGCCATATGGCTGGAATATTACCACCGGGTACCCATTAGTCGCCTCTTGCCTAAGTTACAACAAACAGGGGTTGCTGAAGACCAATTCGAACCCGGTTTGTCGAAGTACGATAACAAGCTAGTTCTCAATAACGAATATCGTTGGCACGCTTGATAATCGACAAAATATTCCTGGACGTTAGGGAAGAGTTTGTTTAAACACCTAGTACAGGCCAACTGTCTCTTTGGAGTCTTTACATAGACCCACCATAACACTAACATGATAGTAATAATAACATTTCTATTGTAACGTTTCCACCAATACATGCCCGCCTCCGTGGTGTAGTGGTTAGAGCGTCCGCCCGGAGAGCGGAAGGTCGAGGGTTCGATCCCCGGTCGCGTCATTCCAAAACACGTTAAAATATGGTACTTGTTGGTCTCTGCCTGGCGCTCGGCATTAATGGGTACAACAAGGACTGGTCGGCTCGGAGTCAGTATAATGTGTCTGAGTGGGGTATTCATGCTTCACTGCGGCGTGGTATCTCAGTGGGCTAGCACTATTAAACCAGCTTCAGTCTGGGCTAGTACAAGCAGCCGCACATACACATACACACGCATGCACGTCGTCATATGAGCGAAATATTCTCAAGCACGACGTTAAACCCAATTTCACCTCACCTCACCTCCACCAATACATAGTGTAATTGTATCGCAGAATGATGATACTTTAAACCATAACAAATATCCAATATCCCTATAGATGTTGGTCCATATTCCAACTCATACGATCACTTAAATCGATAATGTCACACATCGAATTGAAAGGCATGTCTGTCTTTTCCATCAACCTCAACAAAGGCTGGAGATCGTTCCTTCTCAGTTGCAGCTCCCGCCCTGTGGAACGCGGTCCCCCTTGACATCAGGAACAGTGACTCTCTCCCAACTTTTAAGAGAAAACTCAAAACATTTCTTTTCTCATCTAGTGATTGAACTGTAACGTGCAAAGCACCATTGAGCAGCTGCATATAGCTGGAAATATTATTATTATTATTATTATTATTAATCAGGCTCATTTAACGCTCTGTTGTGTGAATGTAGTTTATCAGTCACTGATAGTATATCTTTGAATAGTTATTGGTATACGGGATTCACAGTGTCCCATCTGGACCAGCAGAGTTAGAACGTGCAAGGCTCGACTTTCATGGTTTACAGTGTGCGTTTATCAACATATACATGGATTGAAAACAGTTTAACAGTAAAACATTACACATGTGTCACGTGTATTCACCGCATTTCAATGCATATATACATTTCATAATGAAACTACATATAGGCAAGAAAATCACAGATGGATTCTACCATGACTTCAGTAAACACTGGATTGTGATTGGTTAATTAAAGTCATTCAGAGGTATATAATCACGTTATACAGGTCTCTGTTTTCCGTGCGCAATCATACATGGTTTACGGTAATGCACTATTTTTGTCTGCCCACTAACATGGCGGACACCGAACAACCTACCGATGCATCGATAAATTACGGCGATTTTACTGTCGGAAATTACACATATGTCTTTAAAGATGGATTTAGCGATGACGGGCACGACTCACTACTTGCGTAAATCACAGCAATAGGTGTTTATACATACAAAAGTACTTCGAAAGCATGGAAACAAATATTCAGTCGAACAAGATCAAAACATCGTCTGCTTTCCGAATAAAAATTCAGCAAAAACAAATATGTTTACGTTGATTCTATGTTATGTCAGAATAGATCAGCAATAGACTGCTACAAAATTTCCGTGTTAAATTTATTATCAGCTTTCGTCAACGATATCGCCACTGATCTTGATCCGGTAACGGAGGATGCATTAACATCGAACGCCGAAGAAATTTTAGATTCTAATGCCTTCCGTCCACATAAATAAACAGTTGGGTTATCAATTCAAACAAAATGATATTTTGAAATTTGTACTGTTTCAAATTTAGCGGTAGTAAAACACAATTAGATCTACAGAATCTGCAAACCGTTCTGTTTAGCCCAACATATTTTTTTTTTCTAAATGTATAATATCGTTGAAAAAGTTATTTAGCTTAGTCATGATCCCTCTTATCCATTACACTGCTTGATCTAAAGTAGTCTATTAAAGTATAATTAATTACCTTACCGTGTTTATGCCAGAGGTACACCCTCGTGTCCTGATCCATCCTTTCGGAAATATCACCACAAATCTGGCTCTTTGTCAACAGACTCGCGAACATGCCAGCCAATCCGATTCAATTTGAATTCACTACACTTTGAAGCCACTAGGTCACAAAACACTTTCCAAAATGTAGAAAATAATATCCGTAGAATCGAATTTGAGCACAAAGTACACACATGAGTGTGTAAGAGTCACCACAGCTGTCGCACGCAGACGTAGAGGTGCGTGAAATCGTCAAGTTGACAGGGCGCAAAATTCAACAGTATCTAAATTCGGTACAACACGGACTTCTCGTTACAGCAAAAGCGCCCCTACTCTTAAATTTTGTACCAGTACCAGTAATTAGATATCAAAGACTATCTCAGTCATACAATCAGGTTAACCTTGCGCAAACTGTCAGTGGCTCTCCTGTCGCATCTTTCCAAATGTAAACAATGACTTCGAGAAAGGTCAAGGCCATGAGGTTGCTGCCACTATTCTGGTGGGGAAAGGGTCTACGGTGGAATTTTCAAATGTGAACCAAGCTTTTGAAACTTATTTGATATATGTTTTCCAACTTATCAGTTAATGATTGGTGATTGATGCATTGAAAAACAAAACGTGATTTGTTATTACTGAATCTGGAGTTTGTTAGTCATTGACGGTTTGCCACCAAACACCCGTTTCGGGCGATACCACTTGAGATTGGAATGCGAGGCCGCTTCACGTATTGACTCGTAACCAAAGAAAGAGCTCCACCTGAAATTGTTCATAAAATTGTCATGGTAGAATGGAGATAAACCTACTGTGTTGGAAAATCAGAGGTATATAACGAAATTATAATAGCTCTAAATTGTTCATTTAAAACCTCACGCTACGCGTTCGGTTTTAAATGAAATTTAGAAACTATTATAATTCGCCTCGGCATCGAACGAATAAGTCTCAGAATCTCGTGTTGCCCAATAGCAGCCCACTCTGCCTGTAGTGCCTGTGCGAGTTGCTGAAGTGTCTGGGGCTGAGGGTTACGGCGTCGCACCCGTCTGTCCAGGGCATCCCACAGATGTTCGATCGGGTTTAAGTCCGGTGATCTTGAGGGTCTGGGGAGCACACTGATGTTGTGGTTCTGGAGGAAGTCTCTACTGTGACGTGCTGTGTGGGGCCTGGCATTGTCCTGTTGAAACAACTCCCTCTGGCGATCAATGATTGGAAGGAGGTGTGGGCGTAGGATTTCGTCACAGTACCGTTGAGCTGTCAGGTTGCCCTGGATCATCACCAAATCACTTCTCCTACGGCAGGTGATCGCTCCCCACATCATAACACTTTCCCGGCCGAATCTGTCGACCTGGGGAACGCAAGCGTCGGTTCACGTCGATGTCTGTACACCCGCATTCTTCCATCGCGTCGTTCCAATAGAAATCGTGATTCATCACTGAACCGGATTCTACGCCAATTCGGTAGGTTCCAGGCCTGTACGTTGGTGCACCATTGAACTCGATGTCGACGATGTTGTTGTCGAAGCACAGGGCCAAAATAAGGTCTTCTGGCACGTAAACCAGCCTCTCTCCACCTGTTCCTGGCGGTCTGTGCAGATAGCCTCCTCAATCCGGGTATTTGTCGAGCGGTACTGGTCGCCGTAGCTGTTCGATGACGCAGGTGATGTACCCGGATGTAGCGATCCTGCGCTGCAGTGGTCGCTCGAGGTCGCCCACTACGAGGGGCATCTGCTACCGCATTCTGCCGCGATGGTGCTTTGGTGAACATTCATGCGTCGGGCAACTGCATGTTGAGACTGGCCAGCTTCAAGCAAACCAATGGCGATATGACGGTTGGCTTCACTTAGACGTGGCATTTTGCTTTCGTCAACAATATTCCAAATACAGTGAATAATCGACAGACAAGTATCAACCTTTTATACCCATCATTGAGACTATCTGATCCCCAACTTTCACGTGCATTGCATGTGAATTGTGTATTCTGTGACACTACACGCCGAAATTGAAAATCATGCTGTTAAATACGGGTATTTTACGGATGGTACGTTTTGTTGTGATGTTTCAAAACATAAACACCATGGGACTCATAAACAGAGCAAAACCTTTTGTAAAATGAATCACGTTTTAATTCATTGCTACATGAAATTGCTATTTTCATTATGCGTTTCTTTTTTGGGAGAGTATATATATGAGAAACTAATCTAGATGTCTCTTTCTCACTCAACATGATAAATGAATAATATATATAGAGAGTTATATATGTATAATTATTCATCTGTCCGAGAAACCTTATCTTCTATCACGGATGGCGCACTTACGCCCGTCCTTTGTGTGATTACCGCCAACTGGCATTAAGGAATAGCTGGTTAGCACACTTGGCGAACGCCAGCTTCATTATACATTATATTCATATGAATGTCCATCACGACAGAGTCATTTTACTCATGTCCGTCCTGTTTATGTAAATAAGTAGCATGTATAAAACCTATGCTGGTACTTGTATTGCCAAAAAGAGGGGATGGCCGGAGTGGTAGAGACAGACAGGACCCGGGTTACGCTGTCCTGGATCTCCTTTCACGAAGCAACCTTTACTAAGGTTAACCTTGACTCCCATTCTTTAACACTGCACTAAGGTTACCTTAGTGACTTACGATCACCTTAGTGCTTTGTGAAAGGAGGCCCTGGTCCCCGGTCACGCTCCTGGGGAGCCGGTATCCGCTAAATAAAGGCTCTACTTACACAAAGACTCAGGTCTTATAAACATAGGCTCTACTTACACAAAGACGATCGCCAACAACCCGTAAGTAACAGTAGCATTGTCGACACTTAAAATATATATTCGCGAAACATGTTTGTCTTTGTCATGTTTTTGAGTAGTAATAAATAACCTTATGAAATAAACAGATTTTTGACTCAGATTGAATCATAATACAATCTAAACCGATACGTGTTATGACTCATAAAGTATAAAACTAACACAGCATATATTTATTAATATTTAAAACATCGTCATGTGAAGGTGATTCGACAATACACCGTTCTGAGTACCATCAACATTAAAATATTGACAAGTAATGCAACCTTTTGGAACGTCTGCATTTGATGTATGAGTGAGTGAGTTTGGTTTCACGCCGCTCTTGTCCGGATAAACGGGGTTCGACTGTACCCAAGTTGGGAATCGAATCCGGGCCTTCGGCGTGACGAGTGAACGTTTTAACCACTTGGCTACCCCATCGCCCAAGTGACAAATAAATACTGTCTATTATAGTATATGTTGTAGAAATTAATTATGAAAGTCGTTAGATGGGAGATGAACCATCGATATCGTAACAAATCAGTATACATGGAATTATTTTCCAGTATATTTACGAGCACAGGAGATCAACCACGAGTGTCTTATCTTTTACTACATTTCACGATAAACAAACAGCTGTGTATATTCTCAAAGAACAGGTGTGGCGTTGGTTTACTATTTCCTTCAGATTTCTGTTCTTGCATCATTATTGCAAACGGTATCAGCACATATATCATCAAACATAGTATACATTTCAAAACAAAATTGATTCTCTCGTGACAGCCACTATGGCGTTGGCGAATACCCCCAAGTATGTATGGACATTTCCAAAGTATTACCTTCCCAGTTAAACCCATTTGTGTCTTTTATTAATTAATTACAGTGAAATCTGAGGACGATGTCTGGTTTATATTTGAAACCGAAATCGATTCTAGTGTGACAGCCACTATGGCGTTGGCAAATAACCCCAAGTATATATGAACAGTTTCCAAAGTATTACCTTCCCAGTTAAACTCCTTTGTGTTATTCATTAATTAATTACAGTGCAATGGCTGAAGACGATTTCTGGTGTTCCCCGCCGAGACATTGCTGGAGTTTTACAGCGGCGCCAATCCCCCTCACTGACTCATTAATGACATAATTGCTCTGTGTACTTACCACATGCATTGATGACATGTGACAAAGACATTCTTTTGGTCTTCATTACGGAATGGTCAAACATCAACTTTCAAGCTCCATCCTCATCATCTGGGAGGAAGGGGTAGCCTAGTGGTTAAAGCGTTCGCTCGTCACGCCGAAGATCCGGGTTCGAATCCCCACATGGGTACAATGTGTGAAGCCCATTTCTGGTGTCCCCCGCCGTGATGTTGCTGGAATATTGCTAAAAGCGGCGTAAAACCAAACTCAGTCAGTCAGTCAGTCCATCCTCATCTCACCCATTAGCTACAGCGGTAAACAATATTTACTTTTCCACGTCCATAGTTCTCATCATTTATCAGCGCAGTAACCATCCTCCCATATTCGCCGGAAGGTAACCTGGAGACCGAATTAGAGAACAAGGGAATATGGGTTCAATGTACACAGAAGGCAGCAGTTTACTGTTTGGACAAATACAGGGTGATCAACGAAGCGACAGATTAATTATATCCTTGTCTGCTTACATTTAATATCAAATGAATACACAAATACACAGTACCAGTCGTCTCAAGTAACCATATACTTGGCATATAGTTGCTTCATCCAGTAGCACAGTCTTGGACATTAAGCCAATGTGCATACACGAATGATTGCTGTTATTCCTGTATCTTCGACTAGTGCGGGTATTATGACCAAAGATTGAAGAACTGAATGATATTTATGTTGTAGTTAATTAAATTATGTCAAGGAAAATAATGTGTTCAGGTTTGTGACTAACTGTTTTGTATCTTGTGTGCGTATTATGATTGTATGTGTTTTTGGGATTTTTTTGTTTTGTGTGTTTTGTGTGTGTGGTTTTGTGTTTTTCGTGTGTGTGTGCGTGTGTGTTTGTGTGACACTACCAGTACCGGTGCTAGCCGAGACTGATGCCAAAAACATGGATAGCCCACACAGAGTGAATAGACATCGAGTTGACCTTCCCATATGCTGACCACTAAGCACTGTCCGTTGTCTGGGCAGATGCTCTTTCTATTAGACCAATGACAATATCGTCATCGACATCACACAGGTATATTACCAGTGGATGTTTGGGTGTTTTTACCGCAGAACTATTCCAGCTATATAACGGTGATCTGTTGATATTAGAATTCCGAAGCAGACAATCAAGTGATCAGCGACATGAACATTGCTCTACACTACTGGCAGCATGATATTTGCACAAATATATGTGATATTATGCTTGTCGAAATTGAATTCAATTAATGAACAGATTAATAACATGATTAATATATATCTCTCAAATGTTTAATTCAAAACTCAAAGCTATACATATACATTCATAGATGAAGTTAAACATAAAAATGTACAAAAACATAAAACATTCAAATGATGATACTATTAACAACCATATAAGTAATATATGGTCGGCAAAATTTCAGATGAAGGTTGTCCCCCTATGTCTCGTCTCCTACCGCGAAAGAATTGCGAAACAACTTAGTAGAAGCTGTTAGTCCTTATATGAATTCACGTTTATGTCAGTACTAATGGAACTGACTTGAGCAATGCTCTCAGCTTTGTCAACGTCTCTCCAACATGTACACAACGTGACACGTTGAACTATAATACATAACAATGGTATATGGCTGCTCCGTACCATATAAAGATAGTGATTGAGGAAGGTAGTTGTCCTGAAGTGGAATGCTTTGTAGTTTGCATTGAACAATGTAGATTTGCTTGTGTCGGTTGCCGTGGATACCTATTCTTGAACATCAACGATGAGTGGAGTAAGGTATTGGCTGTGGCGGATTCCAAAGGAGTAGTCGGGTTCCTTCTTCTTGTGGATCCACACCTAGGAAGAAAACACTCCATGTTATATATCTTCCACTCACAGGAAAGAAGAAGAAACATTAAAATATTGTCTGGAAGACCTCAAAAAAGAGGCTTGTTGAAACAATACTGGAGTTCAGAAATTGGGAAGCATTCTGGTGGGTCACTGACACCGCCTCCGTGGTTACATCAAGACATCTTTCCCAATTTCAAAGATCGATGCTCATGTTGTTGATTCAAGGCTTGATTGTTAAGAGACCGCGGTCCTATAGCTGGGATATTGCTGAGTGGGGGGTTACAAATAAAACAACACGACTGGTTTGTCAGGATATGGATCCATAAGATGCACACTCCACATTTTCATTCATGTTATATGGCAACCTGTGCCAAATAGTGCTCGCCTTTTTTTCAACCTTTGGATTTGATACTGGTGTTAGATCGTTTATTAATCTTTCTTTGCCCATAATCTGAATGCCGGACCAATGTTTCACTGATAGATACGTTATATGACGTTGAAGATGAACACTTACCTTCTGTGGTGAGTGAGCTCCTGGTCCTGGCTTCTTGGTGGTGTCCCCTGGCATGATGTTCCTGCTGGTCATACTGAACAAAGGGGCCTTGTTCTTGAACGTGCTGGGGTCGGTGGTGTTGTAGGTGCCTGGTCCAGGGGCCTGAAGAGCAACACAATAAGCATCATGTAAATATACTACCTGTAATCAGTCGACAAGTGTTTTGCCGAGTCGAGTGACGCTCATGTCATTTACATTCCACACCTTAACAGTGGATTTTTCATGCTCAAAGGTAAGCATATTATTTTTCATTCTATAGCTGGGAATGAGTTATATACTAACGAACTCGTGTAACAGTCCACTCGCTATGACTTGACATAACTCAGAAGTGCACAGATTACACCAAAGGAGTTACCTATGCCCGATGTTAGGGCGATATGGGCCCCAAGGCTAACTACCAAAAGGGCAATAATTCCTGCAATATGCCGTTTGTTCATAAAGACACAATTCAGTCCACAATGGAAGCGTGTGCGTACCCTGGCCAGATCCTCGGAAGACCCTCCAATGGTCTGTCTCCCAGAGAGACTGTAGCAGGCTGCCTGTTTCTTCCCACTCTGAACTGTCTTGCCGACCATATTGGGCAACGTGTAGCTGTTGGCAGCTGGAAATATACAGTTGAATAATTTCAAATATCACATTAAAAAAATATTAACAAGCGAGAAGATTTGCTACAAAGTTCTGCTTGTGCAAGGCGTATGAGCACATCTGGCTGGTATAGAGAGGCAATGAAATATGTTCACACTTTCAGCCACTGGATTGCATGCTCCAGGCTTTAACACATCATTGTCTCCTCCAAGACAGCCAAATCATTTGTAATGGAACTAAAGATCTATTCAGATTCAAGGTCATGGAAATAATATCAGTTAAAAAGCCCTATCCAATCTTAAAATGTAATTGGTAACTATTAAACAATCTTTTCATTCATTAATGTATATAGAATATGTCTACATTTCGTTACATTCGGTATCCTTAAACCCGTATCCGTTGAAAACTCCACAACTCCGAACATTATTACTTGTTCTGATCAAAATCATCCGTGTCTCTCACCTGGATTGTTGTCGGTCCTTCTGTACCTCTGTCTCATTCCAAAACTGTACTGTGGATGACGGAACTTGGCGCTGGGGCCGACTTGTTCAGGGTTATAAACACCAGGCCCGGGAGTCTTAAATGATTTGGCATCCTGCTGCCGACCGTATAGGGAGTAATGGGGGGTACCATCCATACCATCGCGGTTGACCTGTGGGAGAGAAGATTTAGTGAGTGAGCGAGTGAGTTTAGTTTTACGACGCACTCAGCAATATTCAAGCTGTATGGCGGCGGTCTGTAAATAATCAAGTCTGGACCAGACAATCCAGTGATCAACATCACTAGCATCGATCTACGCAATTGGGATACGATGCTATGTGTCAACCAAGTCAGCAAGTCTGACCACCCGATCCCGTTAGTAGCCTCTTACGACAAGCACGGGATGCTGAAGACCAATTCTAACCTGGATCTTCACAGGTGAGTGAAGTCTCAAGTTACATATGGTGTTCAAATTCAACTTTCAAGACATCCTTTGAAAAACCACACACTTTCTGAAGCTGGTTTGTTGATTTTGTTCATTTAGTTTAAAGCCATATTTGGATATTTTTATGCTGTGGGACTAATCTTTCTTGGTTGTTACTTTTACTGTAACTGTGTCTTATGGCAATACATATATGTGGTTGTCTTTGAAAACTTCTGGAAGAACGAGGGTGGTGGATGGTTGGTGTTGGGTGGTTGAGATGGGATCCTTACCTTGGTGTCTGGGTAGTAGCATGGGCCAGGGCTGCAGTCATCCCAAAACTTGCCGTGACGGACGCCAAAAGAGTAGGAAGGCTGTTTGATGTGAGAACTGCGAGGATCGTGGGTATTCTGGCCGATCAGTTTGGGAAGGCCATAGGCAGGGCCAGGGCTGGTGTACATAGCAGCGATCGCTCCACGGGGTTTGGTTACGTTGTGCGCCATTGTAATGGAATCTAATGAACAAAACAGTCAAAGAAAATATATTATTTTAGGGAAAAGAAATGCAAGTCTGGATTAAATATGATTGCTAATGTAATGACCAAGACGTTGTGATATCAATACTATAACATACATTATAAATAGCCTGGGGACTGTGTAATTGAAATTGCCAATTATATTTACCAAATTATGTTTTTTCATATATTTAGTATTCAGTATTTGAAGTAATATTACTTGCAATTGGATAGCGTCATGGTTATATGGCTGACTGTAAAAACTAATTGTACAGTTGTTCAATTTGCTGATGTGCTAACTATTGAGGTACTTTGATTGTAAAATTTTCGTTATAAAGGTCAATCAAATAAAAAGAAGTAAATTGTACCTCTACCATAAAAAAGCTTTTCTGAGAACTAAAAAGCGAGTATATTTTTGGAAGGAAGCATTGACTTGGTATTAGATATTGCGGAGTAGGTTGTCATATGAACAACAAATCATGCAGAATGAATTTCATGACTGCCATGCTAGCTATTTGTCTGAAAACTACCGGCAGATATACACTCAAACGTCAACGCCAGAAATTAACCAGTCTCGCTTCTACACTGAAACACATACTGCTCAAGCTCCACTCATACAATCTGCACAAAACACGTATGTGTTCATTACCTAACATAGATAAGAAATCTAATGAAACAAATGAAATATGCTTATGTATTGAAGCTCGACTCTAGGCATATTCTAGACCCTTCCATAATTTCCAAATGTCTAGCAAGCTGTCACATTAAGAAAACGTTTCTCGATATACGTTATACAAACGGATCAACGGCAAACAGCCAACGGCTCAACACTGACGTAAACGAACCTTTTTAGGGAGGTTCAAGTATGCTAAAATGTACAACGTACCAAGTTTGATGTATTCAACAGTGCCTTTGCCCGACTGTCCTTGCAATACTTGTGAAGTAAGTGACAACTTATCTTGCTCTGACGAACCTTCAACCCGGCATATATAGTCACCCGTTAATTCCCTAATCACCTTCAAAGCAACCGGTCCGCAGACAAAAACTTCCAGCGCCGTCCCTGGCAACGTAATTCCGTGTCCTTACCAACTCATCCATAAGCCTTAACGAATCATTAATCCTACATATGAGGTAAGCAGTTTACGTCAAGCATACAGCGGCGAAGCTTATTAGATAACAGCTTAACAGAAACCCTGACGCTCAGATTCACCTCACGACTAACAACTGGCTAAACTTCTCTAAGTGGCATTCAGGAGCAGGTATGAGGAAGAGGAACTGGTTTGTATCGATAGAAAACTTCTTTGTTGCAGTAGATGCAACGTTTCGGTGTAGATGCTAACATCGTTATTAAGCATCAGTTGTTGAAGAGGAACACTTTTTATGAACAGACAATTTCTTTATTGCAATAGATGCAACGTTTCGGTGTAGATGCTAACATCGTTATTGAGCATCAGTTGTTGTAGAGGAACACTTTTTATGAAGAATGTCTTTATTGCAATAGATGCAACGTTTCGGTGTAGATGCTAACACCGTTACTAAGCATCAGTTGTTGAAGAGGAACACTTTTTATGAACAGACAATTTCTTTATTGCAATAGATGCAACGTTTCGGTGTAGATGCTAACATCGTTATTGAGCATCAGTTGTTGTAGAAGAACACTTTTTATGAATAATGTCTTAATCGCAATAGATGCAACGTTTCGGTGTAGATGCTAACATCGTTATTAAGCTTCAGTTGTTGAAAAGGAACACTTTTTATGAACAGACAATTTCTTTATTGCAATAGATGCAACGTATCGGTGTAGATGCTAACATCGTTATTGAGCATCAGTTGTTGTAGAGGAACACTTTTTATGAAGAAGTCTTTAATAGATGCAACGTTTCGGTGTAGATGCTAACATCGTTATTGAGCATCAGTTGTTGTAGAGGAACAGATATGAAGACATCTTTATTGCAATAGATGCAACGTTTGGTGTAGATGCTAACATCGTTATTGAGCATCAGTTGTTGTAGAGGAACACTTTTTATGAAGAATGTCTTTATTGCAATAGATGCAACGTTTCGGTGTAGATGCTAACATCGTTATTGAGCATCAGTTGTCGTAGAGGAACACTTGTTATGAAGAATGTCTTTATTGCAATAGATGCAACGTTTCGGTGTAGATGCTAACATCGTTATTGAGCATCAGTTGTTGTAGAGGAACACTTTTTATGAAGAATGTCTTTATTGCAATAGATGCAACGTTTCGGTGTAGATGCTAACATCGTTATTAAGCATCAGTTGTTGTAGAGGAACACTTTTTATGAACAGACAATTTCTTTATTGCAATAGATGCAACGTTTCGGTGTAGATGCTAACATCGTTATTAAGCATCAATGGTTGAAGAGGAACACTTTTATGAACAGACAATTTCTTTATTGCAATAGATGCAACGTTTCGGTGTAGATGCTAACATCGTTATTGAGCATCAGTTGTTGAAGAGGAACACTTTTTATGAAGAATGTCTTTATTGCAATAGATGCAACGTTTCGGTGTAGATGCTAACATCGTTATTGAGCATCAGTTGTTGTAGAGGAACACTTTTTATGAAGAATGTCTTAATTGCAATAGATGCAACGTTTCGGTGTAGATGCTAACATCGTTATTAAGCATCAGTTGTCGTAGAGGAACACTTGTTATGAAGAATGTCTTTATTGCAATAGATGCAACGTTTCGGTGTAGATGCTAACATCGTTATTGAGCATCAGTTGTTGTAGAGGAACACTTTTTATGAAGAATGACTTTATTGCAATAGATGCAACGTTTCGGTGTAGATGCTAACATCGATGCATCAATGGTTGAAGAGGAACACTTTTTATGAACAGACAATTTCTTTATTGCAATAGATGCAACGTTTCGGTGTAGATGCTAACATCGTTATTGAGCATCAGTTGTTGTAGAGGAACACTTTTTATGAAGAATGTCTTTATTGCAATAGATGCAACGTTTCGGTGTAGATGCTAACATCGTTATTAAGCATCAGTTGTTGTAGAGGAACACTTTTTATGAAGAATGACTTTATTGCAATAGATGCAACGTTTCGGTGTAGATGCTAACATCGTTATTAAGCATCAGTTGTTGAAGAGGAACACTTTTTATGAACAGACAATTTCTTTATTGCAATAGATGCAACGTTTCGGTGTAGATGCTAACATCGTTATTGAGCATCAGTTGTTGTAGAGGAACACTTTTTATGAACAGACAATTTCTTTATTGCAATAGATGCAACGTTTCGGTGTAGATGCTAACACCGTTATAAAGCATCAGTTGTTGAAGAGGAACACTCTTTTTGACAGACAATTTCTTTGTTGTAATAGGTGCGACGCGTGGTGCTTGATAACGGTGCAATAAGAAGTTGTCAGTCCATAAATATTGGTCCTTTTCAACTGACTTCTATATTTGAAATGATGTTTGTGAGCCAGGAATGCGTACCATGAAAGACAACTCACATCTGACACATGGGTTAATATAATTATATTTCGATCTAATTATAATTATACATTCATAGATAAATTATATTATGATATTATTACTATATATGTTAAGCAAGACTTAGTGCTTGTGCGGTGTGTCAGTGAGTGGCGAAAATATTCTGACAACGTTCTGATATTGGAACATTACAGGTAAAATTTATTACCGACAACCATTGTTTTATGCATCAAAATGTAGGCCTATAGTCGATGTATTTACACAATGTTTCCGTTTTTCTTGTAGGAACTTTAATAAATCATCCATGACGTTGTTTAACAGCGCATTGAGCAAAAACCCAGCTATTTGCTGGGGATATGTAAAGTATCGATTCTGGGCTTTGTGGGCTTTGATTGACTTTGTGAGCATCGATCTAAAGTATCGATTCTGGGATACGATAATAATAAAGAAATGGTCAGTGGTCAGTAAGCCTGACCATCCGACCACCTTACGAACAGCAAGATATACTGAAGATCAGTTCTCATCCCGATCTTCGCGGGGATGTAATTACCAAAGTGGCATTGTCTTAGATTGGCGTTAATAGCTTGTTTGCTTGCTAGTGTGTTCCACGGTGTGCGTTCAAACTCAGGAATTTGTGTAGGCGTACAGAAAGTGATCAAACACTATAATGTACATGGACAAACGGTAGGTTGCAATTACACAAATTCCCTAGAACCGCCTTGTGTTATATTTCTCTTTAGGTAATAAAGTTTCAGTGATCGTGGATCCCCTAATATGAAGGTGGGTCTGCTCTCACCCTACCAGTGCTAATCAGTTTCCGTTAAGTACATAATCGACTAAGGTGTGACGAAGCGAACACTACAAACTATAGCCTACCCACTTAACTGCAGGACTTGTGTTTAGGGGTTGTATCCGAATACATGTACCTTACCAAGCTAATAAGTAGAGGTGGGTGTTGCAGAGAATTTTCATATTGTGATATATTGCGATGCGAAAGCATATATTGCGATATGTATTGCAAAATATTGCAAGAATTATGTTTCTAAACAAAAACTACTTATAATCGAGTTAATGCTTGATTATAAAGAAAAACACAACAAAATCACTATGATTGATTAACCTTTAATAAAAACGTTTAATCATGACAAAATAAAAATGTAAGTAATATTTGGCACTAATGAAACAAGGAAAAGAACAATTTAAAAAGCGGAAATATCCGAAGATTTCCGAGTGTTACGAAGTTTTCCGAATGCAAGTCAAAATACCGGTTTTCGATCAGTGTATCGCAATACGTATCGTTTTCATGTCTGAACCGGTAAATACCGGTAAAGCGGTTATATTGCGCAGCCCTACTAATAAGTCTTGACTATCTGGGGGTTTGGGTTTCGTGGGTTGTTTTGTTGTTGTTGTTGTTTGTTTGTTGTTGTTGTGACGTAAGCGCACATTCACACTCTCCCCGTTGAATAATGCCCCAATTCTCGTGTCTCGTTTGCTTCGCTTAATGTTCAGTAAGGACTGATTA